ATTAGCTATAGTTTAATAGAGCTGCACAGAACGTTTTTCCTAAAAATCTTCCAATTATTTTTAGCCACTTATTTGAAGAAAGGAAGGATTTGAAGTTTTTTTTTATTCCGTGTCGAATGATAAATGCGAAATGTCTGGAGAAGCAATACTTGTTATGAAGTAACGATTGATCTTAACTGATAGATGTTCGATATGCTTTTAATTTATTTATTCTTTTTAGTTATTTTATCCTTCATATCATTATGACTTAGCTATTTGTTTTTATTTCGATAAAAATGTGTAATCTGTAGAGATATTGATGTTTACAAATTGAGAATCGGTTTACCCACTCTGTTTTCCATATTATAGCTGAACTCAATTAAACAGCTATTTAAAATCAGAATTCAGGAAAGATAAGTTAAATATGATTTGTGTTTATTTTTCTATATCAGTATTCGCTTTTGCGTCTGCTAGCATACAGCATTTTTTAATTTTTTTTTTTCGTTCTGCTTATTAATTAAGCTTAACATTTTTAACATTGAGATAACATTGCTTGTGGTTTTGTGTTTTCGATTTATGATAGACTTGATTTATATCATGCTTAAACTGATGATTTCTTTTTAAAAACCTTAAATCAGCTGCTCTGTGCGGTGTTTTAAATTTTAAAAGCTTAGACGCGTTTTGTCATAGTACAATATTTTGTTTTAGAATTATTATTTTTTTGGGCGGGTGGGGGGAGGTTAAGAAGAATTTACCCTTTCTTTGTACTTTTTATCTGTCTTAATTTTCATTATATTACTATCTTAAAATGTTTTTAAAAATATTTATAACAGAAATTAACCCAAATTTCAACTAGCAATTGGAAATTTTTTTTACTTAGTCCAATGGAATCATTTAGTTAAAGTGATTTTCAATATATTTTCTTTTAATGAGATTATAAGTAGTTACAAGAAATGTAGCGTAGGTTTTTATTTATCTTAAAATTTATTTGGGTAGTATTTTTTACGTTCTTTAAAAGCTCACTTTTAAAGTAAGAGTTACCAGAAAAAAAGAGGCTGTAAAACAAGGTTAGCCTGTTTTCGGGAAAACGCAAGTGCGGGTTGAAGATACATATGCGCTGCATCTTACTTAACTCTGTATCTGTACTAGTAAACATATTCAGTTGTAGAACCGTGATGACTTATTGGCTCTTTGGGGTTCTGTCATTAATGGCAACTAGTAGACCATTCGTCTTCAGATGGATTGGGTGCAGCTTGCATGGGAAATAAAAGCGGCTGGCACGCAATGCTAACCACAATGCCCTAACAGGGATCTGTTTAGAAGAAGTTTGGGTCCGTTAACGGACCCTTCACAAAATATCTTTTCATAAAAACGAACCCTTCGCAAAATATTTTAATTAAAAAAGGACCCTTCACAAAATAATTTATCTTTTAATCGGACCCTTCACAAATTTTTTTATCTTCATTATTGTTTTGTTAATCGAAAATACCCTTTCCAGGAAGGGGGGGGGGAGGAAGACAGATGTAAACGAACTAAATTTTGTCTTCGGCAGACACCTCTTCCTTTATTCGTCCGAAATGAATATTCTGCGTTCAACAGTATAGGCTAAATACCAAATACTTATATGTTGCATTGATAATTTAGTAGCTGCAATTGCTGTTTATTTTTTAAAATTGAATTTTTTTAATTATAATTTTACAGTTTTAAGCATAATCTTGTATGTCTTTACAATTAAAAAATTCCTTGAAAAAAAATTTTTTTTTTTGCAATAACGGACCCTATTTGCGCAAATTCACAGAAGCGGACCCTGGTTGAAAGAATGTGACTTAACGTTTATTTCATATTCACAAGTTATGAGTAATTTTTTCACAATTTTACAAAAACGGGCCTTTTACAAAATGTCTGGACAGACCCCTGCCTAAGGAGGCTTAGCCTTTAAGACCTTGTCCGATAATTAAATGGCAGTTGCAGAAGTGCATTACAATTTCTCTACGGAATCGACCTTTTGGTTAGTTCGTTTTGGCCTGGTTTATAATTTATAACTTTATTTTCAAAAACTTTTTAAAATAACTATTGTGATTGTTTTTTTTTTTATTTAAGAAGGCTCCATTTTCAGAAAACACCAATAAATCTTTATTAAAATCTAGATTTTATTGGTTGAATTTTTTTTCTAATCTTAAGTGATTTAACATCAATTTATATTAGAAACATTCTAATACGTTGATACCCAATGAGCATATGTACGTTTGTTATATTTGTTTAGGGGGAGAAAATGCAAGAATGTTATTCACTGATGACCAAAAATTTTTTTTTGATACAAATATATACCAATTTTTTAATTTGTCGAAGTTCTTTATCGTAAATTTGTTATTTAGATCTCATATTTTAAATCTCGTTTATTTGTATGTTGCTTTTATGAATTATTAAATTCGATAATCAAAATATTATATATTGCTCAAAAAAGAACTTGTATATTAAAAATTATACCATTTGTTTACTTTTTTTTTTTTAATGAACCGTCTGCTACTTAATACAAACCGATTGCTTTGTTTAATTCTAGCATGTTCGTCGCCTGTCTAGTTACCCCAATGGAACAAAGGCTTCCTTTCATTATTCGCCCCTATACCATTTCACTTCACGTCACTTATGTATGGAATAGAACTAAAACTCTTGACGAATGCAGCGAAATCGTTTGCTGTGTAATGCTGTAATTGATGATTTTTGTTTCCATGTGGTGGTATAAAGTGCGTTGTAGATTTATTATCATTTAAATCTCAAAGGACAACATTGTGTTGAAAATTACGTTTTCCTCGTTTTAATTATTACTTTCCAAGAAGTTGAAAAATTGGTGGCGGAATTGTTACCCGAGAAAAAAAAATGAAAATAATACAAATGGTTATTTTATTTATTTTTTTTTTTTAAGTTAGTGCGAACATTTATTATACGGGGAAATAATAATTAATGGAATGTGTTTAGGGTCTCTTAATTACTCAAAGAAAAATATTTCTTAGTTGTACATTTTTTTCTACGTTTTTGTTATGGTTAAAAAGCAATTTTTGTGGAACAGTTATTGTTTTATTTATTGTTCCACGCTCTTACACTTACTTGTAAGAAGGTGTAAAATCTTGGTCGCCATAGCGCTTAAAGAATGCAGCTGGCCCCCAATATTTTACTATTTTTTTTAAGCTGTTTTTAGCATCAAAAATCCAAACATTTTCTCTTATAAATTAAGAAAATGATTTAATTATGATTAAGAATTTTAACATGACAAAATTCCTCCATTTTATTTAAAAATAAAAAAAGGGTTATTATTTCTGCAACTCTGTGAAGAAGTGTGTTATTGCAGATTATTTTGCTGATACGTAATACTTCAAGCAAACGATTAAGATCCAGCAATCGTTGATTCATCTCGTGCTGAGGCTGAGCTTCAGTATATGATATCTTATTATTATGTCTTAAATCAATATCTTAATAAAACTAATTTAAGTAAATTGTTATTTTAATTTAACTGGTCATTTAATTGTTTTTTTTTTTTTTTATTCTCAAGTTGTAGGGTTTTTAGATTTCCCGTTCTATCCTGTTTATGGGGAGCACCTGTTAGAGAGAGAAATTACTGATTCCTTTATCATTTCCTGCCTTCCCCCCTCCCAGTCTGAGTGTGGATGAATTATTTAAACCTTTGATTTGATCCTTATTCTTAACCAGATAAGATTAGTTTTTAACTTTTGAGGGGGGTTTAATTTTTAAGCGCAAACTAAAAAAGATTATCTGAAGTGGTAAGAGAGTAAGTATAAAGTGGATGTGAGAAAACTTTATTTAAGATTGCAGCAAATCTACACTCCTCAAAAGTGAAATTGCAACACCAAGAAATAATCCACGTAGCGTCATGCAAATTTGAGAAGCGATAGTAGTGAGATGGATATGCAAATGATTAAATTTGCGCACGCATCTGATCACGTGGTACGCATATTCGGGCTATAAAGGCCAGCAACTTTCCCTTCTCAAAAACGGCATCTGAGGTNTATTATTTTAATTTAACTGGTCATTTAATTGTTTTTTTTTTTAATTCTCAAGTTGTAGGGTTTTTAGATTTCCCGTTCTATCCTGTTTATGGGGAGCACCTGCTAGAGAGAGAAATTACTGATTCCTTTATCATTTCCTGCCTTCCTTCCCTCCCAGTCTGAGTGTGGATGAATTATTTAAACCTTTGATTTGATCCTTATTCTTAACCAGATAAGATTGTTTTTTAACTTTTGAGGGGGGTTTAATTTTTAAGCGCAAACTTAAAAAGATTATCTGAAGTGGTAAGAGAGTAAGTATAAAGTGGATGTGAAAAAACTTTATTTAAGATTGCAGCAAATCTATGTAATAATGGTTGGGGGGAAATTTTTTCTCACAAAAACTAGTAAACATCAATTTTATTCTGCTATCTCTCATTCATTTTACGTTTGAATTGTATAATTTATGTAATATAATAAGTTTAATTTAGATGTTTGAAAGATATACAAAGAAAGTCTGTTATTTTTATAAATCTTAGTTCAATCTTATAGTAAGCATCAATTTTCCCTCAAGTGAATGCTACGTAACACTACAAAGCGGGAATCGAATTGACAAGTACAGTAATTTCTAGATTATAGCTGATTCATCATCAAAAGCTGTTCTTCTGGTTTTTGTTTATTTAACTTATTGTAAATCTAGTGTATGCAAGACATTTATTGCAGTCTTTTTTCTTTTTTTTTAAATCAATCAATTAAGGGAATACCTAACATTATTATCTAGGCACTAAATATAGCACAAAATTCCTGACATTAAATGTCTCTTCAACTCAATGAAAATGATAGGTTTATCCTGTATTTAATGACTATGTAAAGTAAAAATCATGTTTTCATTTTCTTTTCTTATTCTCTGTCTTAAAAATTTTGCCATTTTCAAAAACTTTTATTGATGCAGTTTCGAAATATTTGCCATTTTTCTTGCTATTTCACTACTAATGTCATCTTTTTTTTCTTCTTTTGAATTAGAAGCTGGGAATCCAAAATCTACTGAAAACCTTTTCCTGGAAGTAAGTTATTTTGATTTATTTTTTTAGCACAGTTAAAAAATCTTCTAATATTTAATAAAGAATATTTTAAAATGAAAAAAAAAATTCATTAAATATCAATAATTTCTCTGAAATTATCAATATAAAATTTTGTAATTTAAATTCAAGTTTAGAAATTATACACTTTAAATTATCCAATATTATTTTGCGCTTATCCAGATTTGGACCAATCAAATCGAACATGCTTCTAAGAACGCGCCATAACTTGATCCCACCATCCGCTATTTACACTTCTATTTTCATATAGTGTAATCTGGCAAACTTGTTTGTTACGAAAACATTTTAAATCTTCTTTTTTTTTAAAAAATGCCGGTAAGTGTAAGCATATTTGAATTCGCTATTCGATTTTTTACTTGGCTGCATTTTTACTTTACTTGATTTTAATTTCCATTTTTTGCTTTATTTTAAATTTTTTGCTTAATAAGTTATATTTTTTTGTGCTCTTCACACTATTGCACTGTGGGCCAGAAGACCATGATCTTTGGCCAAAAGTCGAAATTACATTTTCAACTAAAATATGTGTAGGTAGTTTTAATATCGCCCAAATTAAGTATTCATAATCATTCCAAACATTATAATTTACTTTTTTAGACCAACGAAAGTACAATGTGGTGAAAAATACGCTAAAAAAATTTCTTTTTAAATGTAACTTTTAAATTTATATTTCAGAAATATATATAGGAATTTCACCTTACTGTTACACTTTTATCAGAGTAATTAGTCTGAAATTATAGTACAATTTTTCAATTTGTTGGATTAGTTAATACTCTTGACAAACTTATAGTTTATATCTTATCATTTGACATTTTACAATGTTTGAATCACTTTCGAAACTTATCTCCAAAAAGTTCCATGAGGTAATTAGCTAAACTTTTTTTTGTTGTCTTCTTTGATGCTTCTTCTTTCGAAAAAGCTTGCCCCATTTTGCCCGTATCGCAAAGGTGAACTAAATATACCGAAAAACGAAAAATGTTTTTTTTCTTCATGTTTTTGCGTTTTTTGCAATTAATTCGCGTTATTTTGTAATATTACTTCGGAAATATAATTTGCTTTTTATTTTTAATACAAAATTACGAAAATTATTTTATTTCCATTGCTAAATTTAATTACTTAAACGTACTATATTATTATTTTTTTTTTTTTGCTCGCCATATTTCAGCCGCCATTTTGTTTTTATTTGTTGGTATTTTTAGTGTATTTCAAAATTTTAACTAGGAATTCAATTTACCTGCACACGAAAACCCTAAATAAAAACCCCAAATTTTGAACACAAATTTTATCGAAATACTAATTTTGGCCACGAAACCTTGGATGCTGGCCCACTGTGTATTGTATTGATATATTTTCTTTGGCTATATTAATACAATATTAGAAAGCACTATTTCTTTTCCGGATATAATCGTGTGAGTTGATGACTAGATTATAGCTTCTCCTTTTTTTGTTTTCCGGCTTTTATATATATATAT